TTTCAGTCTTTCTGTCGCGCCGAAATCAAGCTGATCTCGCATTTATCTCCAAGTTTCCCTTAAGTCTGGAACAGATCTTAGCCGAGCTATCCAGTATTCGTCTAGATGTGCCAGTCGATCTCAGCTTTGATGCCCTTTGCAATGCATGTGAGATACCGTTGGTGTTGAATCCTAGGCGGGTGAGCCAAACTAGATACATTGCTTGTCACACTTGACCAAGCCTAGTAATTTTCAAAAACGATGACATGTGCAATCTTATTATTACTTATCGAACTACTGCCTTAAAAGTGTATCATCTTTTGATATCTTTATATTTTTGGCTCTTTCTATCCTTTCAAAAGTATTTAAGCTTTTTTAAATCTTACTTTCCACCACTCTTCATTTTTATTGCTTCTATCTTATATTAAAAAATACGCTCTCGATCGTATTGTGTAGCCAAACCTTGGTTGGTAATCTACTCAATTTTAAATGAAGATCTTCCCATTGAACTTTATCCTTTTCTAAACGTTTTTGTCGTATTAATGAACGGCGGTAGCATATCGATATGCTAAATATAGTGATCAGGCTTAAGGTCTCAGCAGAGTACCATAGTACTACATTCCTAGATGATAATGTCCCTCTCACATTGTAATGTAAACTCAAGTCTGCGTAGTCACACATTGCCCTGCTTCACCATACTGGGGATGGTTGGTCTTTTTAGTTATCTTATTCCAGACATTTGCAAAAAGCGTATTTGTAAAATGTCTATTTTTTTACTGCCACATTTTCTTTTTCTTGCCCAGTAGTTGTTTTTTCCTCGTTTTATAGCCTGGGATCTCTTTACTTCCCTCGTTTTCATTTTTTTTCTTTATAGGCTCACTTACCTACTAATTGTTGCCGCTTTATCCATCCCTTTTTTATATACATATACCTATGTTCATTCTCTTTTTTTTCTTCTTTAGAGTTTCTGCCACATCTGCAATCGGCCAACCTGTCCACGCTGCCTTAGTTGTTATTTTGGACGTGTTCCAGGCCTCTGGTATAACGAGCAAAGTCCCAAAACCTCGGATCCTCCTGGAATTACTCCTGTAAATGGCCAGTACAATTCGAGTTCCC